AAGGTAAAAAGTGTAAGAAGTGAATAAGGATGATCTTTTCAACAAACTGTGCTAGAACAACTCAACGTCTATCTGCAAAAGAAAAAATCTAGACTCTGACCTTAAACTTTTCACCAAAATTAGCTCAAACTGGCTATAGTCTTAAATGTAAGAGGCAAAACTATAAATACCCAAAATGTAACATAGGAAAAAAAGCTAGGCAACCTTGGATTTGATGGTGGGTTTTTAGATACAACATCAAAAAGACTAGCCATGAAAGAAGAAATCATCTCCCATTCCCCTCTCCACAACTTCTACTTCTGTCACCAGTCCCACCAGATTCCACATCACCATAGCTCATGACTATCGTGACCCTTTAAGCTTCCCTCTCCTCCTGCCAATCACATCAAATCAGATGCCAATCCTCTATCTGCTTCAACCCCCTTATAAAATCATAATGATTAATGAGATTATCACTTTTAAAAACACTTGACAAATGCTCTAGTATTCTGTAAGAATGCAGTAAAGGCTTGATAGCACTATTATTGTTGCTGTTGCATAAATATTGCCCTGTTTTCTGACCTGTAAGTGCGAGAGAATTTGACTTTCCACTTTCACTTCAGAGAGCCTAGGATAGTTTCAAAGAGGTAGAAATAGAGTACCAGCCAGTAACTAGCTCTGTGGCCTGAAAATGTAATAGCCATCCCAGAGCTAATATTTTGAAATCTATAAAACAGAAACACTAATAATAATTATCTTTCTCATAGGGCTGGTGAAGATAATAAAGTGAGACATAAATGTAAAACTGCTTTGCAAGTATAGAGTAATGTACATGTATAACACTGCTATTTCCACCCTCGTCTTTAACTATACCATGAAAATAAGTAGACTGAACGACATTATGTCCCAGATGAAACACTATTGATGGTGAAAAGAAGTGTCAGGAATGCCCATTCCAAGGAAGACTCTCTACAGTATGTAATTTTCATCTCACAGGAACAATGCTTTCTGACCTTCTGACAGTGAGGGAGTGGCTGCGTACAGCCAAGACTTCTGTGTTCTGCAGGGAACTGATCACTCTTTACAAAAGGAAAACCTAGTTACATGTCTTTTTTTCTGGTTCAGGCTACAGTTCTATGTTGAGAAATGAATCAAGATGAAGAGGCATAGTTAAACTTTTTCTCTTGTAGTTTACACAGTCTTTTATGCTTTAATTTTGTTTAAATAACTTAGGCTTATGGAATCATCACAAAGTGACTTTCTATATAGTCTTCAATCAGCTTCCCATATTGTTGACATCTTATATAACCATGACACAATTATCAGAACTAAGAAATTAATATTAGTACAATATTATTAATTAAATTACAGACTTTATTCAGGGTTCACCAGTTTTTCCACTTTTGTCATTTTTCTGTTCCAGGATTCAATTCAAGTCTCATACTTCATTTATTTGCCATGTTTCCTAAGCCCCCCATATAGTTAAAACAAATCCATCACCTCACGTATTTGTCTCTTTTTCTGTTTGCTTTTTGGTGAAAGCATTTAAGTTGTGCTCTCTTAGCAAATTTCAATTATACAACACAGTGTTATTAACTATAGTCACCATGTTTTACATTAGATCTTCAGAACTTCATTTTATAACTGAAAGTTTGTACCCTTTTACCAAGCTCTATTTCCCCCAACCCTAGCCCCTGGCAATCACTTTTCTACTCTCTGTTTCTATGAGCTTACCTTTTTTCTTTTAAGATTCCATTTTCTATGGCCAGAAATTTCCCCCAAGATCTTGGACGCCCTCTTCTGGCCAGACAGCATCAGCGGACGACAGAGCTGAGAATAAACCTGAGACATCAAAACACAGCAGCTGCCCTACACATTTCTCCCTCATTCATTCAGTCAAAAGACACTTACTGAAACAGTGAGTTTGCAAGTTGTATTGACTCACTAGTAGATGTTTACACAGAGTTCAACTCCCAACTGTCTGTCATGGGCTCCTGTGGCTAAAACATCATTAGAAGGAATGTTCACTTTCCCTACAGCATTAGGGTTGTTATTCCTGGAATATCATGTCTGCTGACCACATCAAATAGATAACTACAGATCATGTAATGAAGGGAGTAAGGATAGAGTATCTGCTAGAATTTTTGTGTTTGTGGAATTTTATAGACTACCAATGCTGCAAATATTTCAATTATGTTTAAGTTAGGAAAGAATCAAGAACATACCTGATTTTTCTTGGGACAACTGACCTCATCTTCACTCCAGACTTCTCATGGTTTTGAGTCCCTTTTCTCCTATAGTGTCTAAGTGTCTTTATGCTGACGGCCAACATCAGAGGGACATTTGAAGCTTAAAATTCTCAGTATCTTCCAGAGGGTATTGTAGAAGGGTGTTCTTGGTTTTCACAGACACACAAGTTATTTTCATAACCCTGCACAACTACATGCTAATCATCCTTCCTAGGCAGAGAGTGGATACTTTTTGCTTGAGTCCTGAGCCCAAGAAATCGTCTGGGACTTGGTTAATTTCCTGAAGAAAAGTATAGGATGATTTCAAGGATAAGGATTGTTTCTCATTTCTTTTGTATTTCCAGCCCTTAACATGGCATCTAGTACATGATAGGCATTCAGTAAGTGTCTAAATGAAGTTTACAGTTGACCCACTTCCTACTCCACTCACCCCAACTTACTGTGAGTTCTAGAAAGCAGAGAAGAAAATGGAGGAATGTAGAGAAGGGGTCAAGGTCCACGTTATGAATTCACAGCACTGCTGACCTTTGGGGATGGGTAATTTGGGGAGGGGTGCTGCTATCCTGTGTATTGTAGGAAATTTAGCAGCATCACTAGAAGCCAAAAGAAAATCCCTCCCCCAGCCGCTTCCCTGCCAGCAAACTTTGACAACCAAAAACATTCCCATAAGCTCCAGATATTTCTTACTGTTCCCTGGGGGGCAAAACATCCCTGATTGAGAATCACTGTTCAGTAGCATCCTTATTTTAGAATCTAGTCTGTTTGGAATTATGCCTTTTGATATTATGTATGCTTTTTAATTAAGTTATCATTGGTGTTTTGTATGTTTTGTTAACTATTTTTGTGCATCTCTTCTTTAAGTAAATACAAATTCTCTACAGACAGGTATTGTACTTTGTTTCTGCCAATGATTGATTGCTCCAAGTCATCTGCTGTTGGATGACTGATTCACTTTGGCATAGTGCCTAAGAGCAAAATGCCTGTATCTAAAGTCTGGTTCCACCACTTACTGTCTGTTACTTTGGAGAATTTACTTCAGCTCTCATAGATCAGTTTTTTCTTATGTATAAAAAGGGAGGAATAATATCTCCTTCATAAAGTTCTCTGAGGATTAAATAAGTATATGTAAAACAATAAAATGCCTGCCCACAGTAAATAGTAATCAAGTATTACCTATCATAACATGCATACAACACCAAAGGAGGAAAATTAGTAAGTGGGTGATTTCTGTCCCCACAGAAATGTCTTATGTGGTTGAAAACATGAAAATCACATCCAAAAAGTTAGAAGACCACATGCGAAGTAAAATATTAAATATCTATAACAAGTAAGCTGTCACATTGTAGGGTATTAATGATTGACAAATGACTGACAGATTTTTGGAATTCAGAGAGGGGAAAATCACAGCGGCATGGTGGAGGGAAGAACCACAGGAGAGGTAAATTTTAGAGGAACTTTGAAAAACAAGTTGTGAAGAGGTGAGAAAAGTGTCTAGGCAGAGAGAAAAGTTCAACCAAAATCCCAAGGAGAGAAAAAGCATGGCACATTCTGAAGAGACTGAGTCAACATGTTTGGCTGGAGTGGGTTGGAAAGAACAATATGTCAAACAAGGCAAAAATCAAAGTCTATGTTTTGTCACATGGAATCAACATACCCTTAGCAATCAAAATTGTTCCTATTCATTTTAGTTGGTCGTTATAGGTTCCATTGGTGGCCATAACAGCCATGGCCAGCCAAGGCCCACAGTCCAATATGAAGCAGATTTTCAGCATATATGCTTCTTTATTTCAACAAGAAAAATAATTCATGACCACTGAACATTTTCTGCTTACCAGATAGTGGGCCAAACACTTTACATTCATAAGTATATTTAAATTAGTATATTTTATTAGTATAACTAAATTAATGCTGTCCTATGGTAGACCACATATGATTTACTAATCTGGTTTGATACTTAAATGTCTGATAAAAAGTCTGTCTAAAGAGTGAACTGAGAGTACTGCCCATCGACTTGACTGTTTCATGAAGAATGCTCTGATTTATGCCCTTCTCCCCACAAAAAATATACACCGAAGGTTTACCTGAAGTGATTCTTTCAGAGACTCCAACCACAATTTCTTACAAAAGTTTGGCTATCTCTAGTCTATTATCATCAGATATGAAAATATCTAGCAAATTCTCACAAAAAAATGACCTACTCATTATCCATCTAACATTTTCATTCTTTCAAGCCCAAGAAGTTATTTTAGTGTTTCCTTCTAGACTGTTATGATGGGGGAAGGGAGAGGAGTTACTTTTACCACAATGAATGGGAGGGTGAAAATCTTGAGAATGTTGGCACTAGCTTTATCTACAGATAAAAACCTGCACAAAACAGATAATGGTTTATTTTGTACTTTATGTATATTTCCTCCAGTTCACCAAAATGATTGTCTTCAGAGCTTATGTCCATTATTCCTTTACTGTCTTCTCTGCAATTGATTTCTCTGGATAAATACAGGGGTTGAGTTACAATTAAAAATAATGAGACTCCACTGGGCCAATGTCCTTGGGTGCAATAAAAGGGTGTGGGCTAATTGCAGGAGCAGACTGAGTTCCTTTTCCCTCATTTTATTTCACTTCAGTTGGTGGATTGGCACTTTAAATAAGGGTTTCAGGTCTTTCCTGGATAAGAGATACAGAGCAAGTCCCAGGCACAGTCCAGAAAAAAATTTAATCTTCTTTTCTTAGAACTATCTTGTTTGGCATCACCAGGTTCTGAGAACACAGTGCATGTCAGCATTGAAGGTAAAACGTGATTTTCTGATCTCCATGTGATTCCTGTAAGTTCTTTTTCCCTATCTCCAGACAGTGTTTATAATGAGGATTTATCTTCATTTGTCAGCAGAAGCTGAATAATAATTTATTACAAACCATTAGCATGATCCAGAAAAGACATAACTCATACCCTTCCAGCTAAGGAAAAAAAAGACTTGTCTATAGACTTATTTTTCCTCTATTTGTGACTATTAGTGGCAGTACCTACTTTAGAAAATATTAGAAGACAAGCAAATCTCTTGGCTAGTCAGATTGCTATTCATGTAAAAGTAAAAAGCCTTCTGAACTTACAAAATACATTTAAATTCCTTTTAGGATTAAGAAAAATATTCAGTCCATTCCTATTTTTAAAAGGTATTTTTGGCATGACCACCTGGATAACATAAGCATAGAATGATATTCCCTGTGTCTGCAAATAAGGGTTTGCTATGAAATAATTATTGGTTATATTACATTTCAAATGCATTTCAAAACTTACTGTGGAGGAAAACAAAGTATAGAACCTGACCAAATTTAATAGACCAAAATTTCACATTGTGGAAGGGATTTTCAAATTCACAGCTCATTTTATGAAATGAAACACAGAATTTAAAGAATATGCATGGAGGTTGCCTCTACATAGTCATTCAGGTTGCAGCTCCATAAAGAAAATAAGTACTTAAGTAATTTTTAATTGCTTGTCAATTCATTCCAAAACTACTAAATATAATTCAGCTGTTTAGCAACATTTAGTTGTTTCATTTTTTGTGTGTTTTTGAGCCTGGTTGTTTTGGAAGAGCAGAGACTCTGCTCATTTGAAATACTGTCTTTTAAGCGTTCTGAAATAAAAATTTGTCTGATTTAATTTTCCAACACAACTCTATTTCAGATCCCACTTTTTAAAATGAAGGACCTGATACTGATCCTATGCCTCCTGGAAATGAGTTCTGCAGTTGCTGGTCAGTCAAAGTTTTCTGGAGTGTGCCCTAAAAGAGACATTGTCAGACACCAAACAGCACGGAAGGATGTGGGCTGAGTGTCCGTGCACAGCCTCATCTGAACTAATCCAGTCTTATAGTTCCTACTGAGTCAAATGTCATTGTTGTCCAGGTATAAGCTTTACCTTCCCAAGGCAATAAGTCAAACATATGATTTTTCTATTTGAAAGATACTTAAACCATTGCAAGGAAATTTCTGTCTTATTCCTTTCATTCAAACATGTAAGACTTCTATGGCCTCCGCAATGCCATGGCACAATTTTATTATCAACTACTTGCTACCTTTATGCAATTGGAATGGAAAGAGGAAATATCTTCAAAAAACTAAAGTACATTTTCTTCATTTCTAAAAGAGCAACATTATCCAATTTACTATGTTTATGTAACTGAGCTAAGTAATTCCATTTGAAGCTAGTAATTAACCAAAAAGTTTGCCTTATAGGGGCCATCTTGTGTGGCTGAGAACTGAAGCTTCTTAAATCAAAATATGCCATGGCAATGAGGCTTAATTGTATGTTACGGTCACATAGCTACATAATTCTATCATATGTAGAAATGATCTCATATGCATACCATTCTTTGAGCACTAAACTACTCCAGCAATAGCTTGTAATTCTGTTTTCATGAAGATTCTATCCAGCTCAAAACTGGATTATTTGGAGAAATTTACACCACTACTCAAGGGGTGGGATTTTACTTGTATAAAAAGCAGAAGGTGGAGAATAGATAATATATGCTCAGGAAAATATTCTTGAACTTCTCATTCATAAAGGAAAAATAATTCCAATGCATTTAGTCAAAAGCACAAGATAGTCGAGCTCAAATTTGTTCCGTTTGCTTTCTTATGTGATAATTTTTAAGATTATAAAGTACTCTCAGTTTTCTACTTTGTTGGTTTATTTTACTTCTCATTTGTTTTAGTGTAACTTTCAAACTTCAGATTTTGCTGCCTTAAGATGCAGCAAAGGGTAGATGATTCATGTAGAGCAAGATTATTAAATGTTACATTAATTCCCCAAATAATTTAAACTCCTTCATTCTGCCTCAAAGTTCATGTCATTTGGTAATAAATATGGTGGCCTCTCAACTAGCCCTTATGTGGTGGGTGGGTTTTATTTCCCAGTGAGCATTTAAGGAAATTTCTCACCAAAGAAAACCAAAATTATTCTTATTTCCATTTAGATGTTTCCTCAGCAAGCTAGGGCACCAGGCATAGCTAGTTAGAGCCTGGAGGTCTGTGTATTGCCGGAATACTACCACTGTATGCTCCTGCTAAGGGAGAAACATGATGGGCTGCTTTTCAGTTTTCCTCAGCAGAAGTCAGTGGCTGTCCTGTGCAGTTCTACAGAAACTTATGACGTTTATTAGAGACTCATCGTAAAATTTTATTGCAATTTTAAACTCTTAGGTGTTTTAGTCTTTAGAATGTCATCTGTTATGTAAATCAAAGCAATGTTAATATATAATATCCTCTTTGAGCTGAATTTTTTTAAAGTAAAATAAGTTAAATGGGGGGGAAAAAGACTCAATGAAACAACAGCCTCACAATTACATTGTATTTCAGTTGAATGAGCTATTTTTCCATGTTTCAATATGTTCCCTCCACTTAAATGACACTTTTTCTTTCTTTTTATTAATGATAAAAAGCAGACTCATTATTTTAAAAGTAATAATAACAACAATGGCAGAACTGCATTTAACATTTCCACTTTTCTGTGATGAGTTATGTCTACTTTTTTTTTTTTTGAGAGGGCATCTCTCATATTTATTGATCAAATGGTTGTTAACAACAATAAAATTCTGTATAGGGGACTCAATGCACAGTCATTAATCAACCCCAAGCCTATATCTAACAGTCTCCAATCTTCTGAAGCATAACAAACAGGTTCTTACATGGTGAACAAGGTCTTACATAGTGAATAAGTTCTTACATGGTGAACAGTACAAGGGCAGTCATCACAGAAACTTTCGGTTTTGATCAGGCATCATGAACTATAAACAATCAAGTCAGATATGATTATTCGTTTGATTTTTATACTTGATTTATATGTGAATCCCACATTTCTCCCTTATTATTATTTTTTTTAATAAAATGCTGAAGTGGTAGGTAGATGCAAGATAAAGGTAGAAAACATAATTTAGTGCTGTAAGAGGGCAAATGTAGATGATCAGGTCTGTGCCTATAGACTAAGTATTAATCCAAGCTAGACAAGGGCAACAAAACATCCATGGATGCAGAAGATTTCTCTCAAAACAGGGGGTTGAGGTTCTAAGCCTCCCCTCTGTTGGTCTCCAATTTCTCTCCTGATGGCCCCCCTGCAACTGTGCCTGTCTTAGGTTGTTCCTCCCTTGAGGAATCTTACCTGTCTCTGGCTAACCAGTCATCTTCTGGGGCCATACAGGGAAATGTAAAGTTGGTAAGTGAGAGAGAAGCAATATTCTTTGAAAAGGTTAGCTTTTTACTTCTTTGCAGATTTATACCCTGTGGCTTCTATGCCCAGCATTTGTCTTGAGGTATCTTTACCACTTGCAAGAATTATGATACTCGGTAATTTTCGATATGAGGCACTAATTCTACTAAAGGGTTGTAATTAGGAAGGAAGAAGAAAAGCTATAGAAGTAGCAGACGGAAGAAAACATGGGAAAATTGATTATTTCTTTGACATATCTTCTTGTAGAGTAACATAAGCATGTATAGGTTTTAAACTACTAATTAAATTGCGCACATACATTAACATAATAGGAATACAGCTACATAACAAAAGCAGACCTACAATTACCAGCCATATCCAGTGAAACCAAGAAAACCAGTTAGGTACCCTAGGCATCTGTGAAAACTTATCAATGATATGATAGATATTGTCTAACTGAATTTGAATAGTTTGAGAAAAATCAGACAAATTAAAACAACACATTCCTGGGAACTGTTCCCATCCCATGTGTTCTTTTAACAGTAGATAGTCTATAGTCGCACGATTTTGGAGCACTGCAACTTGCACTTCTCCTAATTCTTGGTTGAGTTACGACAGTACAGATCCAGTCAAATTTGTTGTTTTACTGTATGCACAGGCCAGCTTAGATATCTGAGTTATGTCTACTTTTATTTTATTCAAATTAAGCTACCCCAAACTTCATGCTAGTAACAGCTTACACGGAGAAATCAGTTGTATCACACAGAAAATGAACATATGTGGCAAATGCTAAGTCACATTTTTTCCTTGGTAGGCAATAAGACAGTTGGGAAGTTAACAGAGATTAAACATGCTTTCTCAAGTAACCTTATTTTCAAATATTTCTTATTACAAGTATTAATGGTGGTGGAGGTGGTAGTGATATTAGCAGCAGCATTGTAATTCACAAAGTTTGTGAATAGGTAATGTCCTAAATACTGGAAGAACAAATGAGAAATTAGGTAACCTAATGCAAAATGAGATCCTGGCATTGGAAGGTAGGGGAAAATAAACACAATATTGAATTTTCTTTAATAAGGAAAAAAATCCCTTTTTGCATAATCAATTTTATTATAGAGCCCCAAATATGTGTGATTCAAAAAATAAATTTCAAACAAGTTCATGGGAATATTACAGTCTGGCTCAGAATAGAATGTAAAACTGTTGAAAGAGAGCATTTATCCATATTAAATTAACCAATATTACTCTTGCTTTTGCTATATCTACATTTTCTATGGATTTTTTAGAAAATGAAAACCAAGTTTAAGCAATACTGAAATATAAGCATACATTTTTCTTCCTCTATGTCTCAAGTATCCAAGACTTGGCTTGGGGAAATCATTTAATTCTTTGTGGACGTGTGATCTGCTCCCATCACGCTCCTGTTTCCCATGGATGAGATGGAGCAAACATGAAACTCAACAGGTAAGTTAATTGCATCAACGGGTTTGAAACCTCAAGCTTTAAAATATTCCCTTGCTTGTCTTTTCTAAATTGTCATATTCTAACCACAGATGGGTAATAGTAAGAAGCAAAAATTACCCAGATATTCATAAATTAAAACCTATAATTGTTTTCAGTACTTAGGAAAATTTTAAATAAAATGATCCAAACTTTCAACCCATTTGTATCCTTATTTCAAATAGGAAGATATGGCCTCCAAAATATCATACCTATGTTACAGATATGAGCTATTAACAATGAACTATCTTTAAAATGGGAGCAAGCTATATCCTGGACAATTTTCATTTTAGTCAAGAAAGACAAATACCATATATTTCACTTATTTGTGGAATATAAAAACAAAGCAAAACAGAAGGAACGAAACAGCAATAGACTCACAGACACTGAGAAGTGACTAGTGTTCACCAAGGGGCAGGGGGTGTGTTGGGTGCAGTGGGAGGGGGATAAAGGGGCACAATAATTCGCAATCACAATATAAGTTGATCACGGGGACAGCTGAACCACTGTGATGTACATTTGAAACCAATATAAGATTGTATATTAATGACAGTTTAATAAGAAAAAAAGCTTCTCGAAATAACTATTCAAGAGCACATTTAAAATGATGCCAAAGTCCTGAGTAAAACATCATAAACCCTACAGCAATCAATAAATATATCACACCATAACTATTATTTATTAAATGCCTAATAAATGCATAAACAAAATTGTAGACTGAGAGTGAATGTAAAAACATTTAAGAATGGATCCAAGGCTCATGAAATTTCATATTAATTGGGAGATGAGACAGATGATATACTACCAGGTAGATGAAGTGTGGCTTAGGACAGGTTAGAGGTAGACAAAGGTTGAAGAGCCAGATTGTTGTGAGACTTTATGCCACTTTAAGGAACTTGCAACTGATTTAAAAATAATTAGGAACCATTCACCACAAATAATTTCAAACACGGCTGTTGTAACCGAAAGCTCTGACTGCAGATCATACAATAGTATGACTCACTAAACCACACGTAGTGGGACTGTTAAATATGTTAGTGGGGACTATTTTTCTACTTATTTCCAAAATGGATTCCACAATGCAGAAATTTGATTGATGTTTTATTTGATTACCCTTTCTTCCTTCATTAACTCAAAAAATATATTACCATGTGCCAGGTACTTATAGGACACATGTTAAATCCTGGGGCTATAAGGGACTATTAGCTAAATAAGACATACTATTCTCTCTCATTTGACTGGGGGACAAAGATTTATAACAAATAATTATACCCCAGTGAGAAAGTGGTAAAATAGAGATACACAGAGGCAGCTATGGGAACCCAGAAGACGAAATAATGACTCATTCTACCAGGAAGTTCTCATGGCTTCCCATCTTCAAGAGCAGTGGAAGTCCCAAAGGAAGCAGGGGAGGCAGCCATGCACTAGACCGCCCCAAATAACATTGACTTTAAGTAAATTGGTGCTGCCTATGTAAACACCTCTTCAAGAAAGGTCCCCTAGACTCTCTTCCCAGTAGAAGGCTTCCCAAGCCCTTTTGCTTGTATATTGTATATATTGCTTGTATATTGCTGTAGAAATTCTGGACACCATGGTTCAATGAGCCATTGCTTCCTGGTGCTCCTTTCAAATTTCTCTACAGTATAAATATTCTTTGCCCGTGCATCCTGCACCTCTCCCATCTCAACCATCCTTGCAGCTTCAACAGCCAACACAGGAACCTTTCATCCAGCCCCCGATTGTAAGCAGCAACCAGGATGCACCACAGAAGGGAGGACCTCAGCCTCCAGTTAACCAGGGACAGCAGTCCTTGCAGAAAGCTGAAAAGTCAGTGATTCAACAGCAGGTGGCACCAGGAGATAAGCTACCAAAGGCCAAAATACTTTTCTCTGGAGTCAGATCAGGATTAGCCACTAATTCAATGAAAAAAAAAAAATGATTTACAGAGCACATTTACATAACCAGAGCTTTTGGGCGTAATGTGTGAAAACATAAGGTTTTAAGCAGTCAGCATATCACTAGATATCCATTCCTGTCCTTTGCCATCAGAAACCCTGCATGGAATCTAAAAGATCCTGTGACTGTAAAACTTGTTTTCTTAGTTGAAAAGGATGAAAACTTTCAGAAGAAATGAATAGCCCAAAGAAGTCCAGGCTTCCTATCAGGATCTTTCTCAATGTTGGAAGGAATGAGAAGAGCAATTGATATCTCAGCATTGCAAGTAGTATTTTGTATTATTATGCCTCTATCTGGTAGTAGAGAAGACAATCATGCAAGAATATATGTATATATATAATTGTGCAAGACAATCGTGCAACAATGTAGAGAAAAAAAGAATGGACAGAAAAAGAAAGGTACCATGTAACTAACCATGTAGGCATTTAACATTTTCCTATATCATCCTGATTACAATCCTCTAAAGTTAGATATTATACCTGACTTGTAAGAGGTTATAGAGTTTTTCCCACTATTACACAAAAATTAAGTGGCAGAGCCAGGACGCAAACCAACCTGATGTACTCTGATTCCAAAACTCATTAGTTTCTACTCTGCAAGACAAAGCAAATTCATGATAGACATGCCCCAGCTCCCTGTCCGTGCACTTGAGTCATGTCAGCAAAAGGTGATTTTAATCTCTTGAATTGGACCCTCAGACTAAATGAAGGTAAAAATAGGGAAACTCCTCTCAGATTGCTTTATCATAATTTTAAATTAAAGTGTTCAGTTCATTTTGTTTATTTTGATTGTTTAGTAATTTTAATATTTATATGTGATGCAGCTACCAAGAATGGCTTTTGCTGATCTGCAAGGTCCATCAATAAGTATAAATCTCAATGAGACCCTTCCTCAGGAAAAAAACCCCTGTGCTTCAAGAAAGAAAAGGGAACATTTTAAATTGTCTCATTTATCAATGACTATGAAGCATAATAGGTTCCTTTGTTTTCCTAAATATTAAATACATATTTGCCATACTAATCCATCTGAAAATGCATTTCATGTAACTCTTAGAAGCAGCTGTAATGGGAGACTTGCCTGTATTATAGCAGATATGAATTACTTATTCTGTTTTCTACCACTTAAAGATATTCCCAGTAGCCCATTTGATATCTCAGGGACCAATTCCACAAAATAAACCATCTTCAGTTAGTATTTTTTAATAACACTACTCTGTAATTTACTTAAAAGTTTTTTTCCATTGGAAAGCACATTTTTTGGTTATTATTGTATTCATATTTAGCTTTTCCCAGGAATGTTTTACATGTCCTTTGGAGCAAATCAATTGGTAAATCTGAATCCTATGAAAAGTATTTTTAACTAAATGTTACCTTAACAGCTAAAATTCTAAAATCCAGGCTTCACACAATAGATTACATATTCTCTGAATGCCTACATTAGCAACTGAAATTACAAGGAGGCACACTATTTGGATAATTCTGTGTGTGCGCGCCCACACACACACACACACAAACATACACAATAACATTAAAGAAAAAGTAAATTTTCTCCCTGAATTATCCAAATTGGCTGCATATATTCAATAATGACTCATCTCACTGCTTTGCTGCACAGTATTAATATTAAGGTTAAAGAAAAGCCCAAATGATTTTGAACTTTGTCTCTAATAGCTACAAAGATAATAGGAATCAGCTGGCTCATACTGTGATGCAGTGTTTCTTTGCAGACAGAATGCTGCTGCCAGACTTGGCATCATGAGCTCAGAAGAAATGGCAGTGAGTAATGTCCTCAAGCTCTTCTTAAGATAGAGGCCAGGTAAGAACGGTCACAGATAACTGGCCTCATGAGACATTTGTAACTGAAAATACAGCACAGAACTCAGAGCATTCCATTCTAAAACCAAAAGCTTGATTCTGAAGAAGCATGCAAAGATTTCATTAAGTTTCCCTTCAAGTCACTTCTGAGTGATGACTGATCTTAGGCACAGAGTTTTGCCCCATTTCTTGAAGATGAGTCAGAAAAATCTCTCTCGAAAAGCCATTATCACTGAACAGCAAATGCTTCAAACCAAAAAAGATACATGTGATAGATACAGAGTCCCAGTTCCTTTTCAGGCCATTTAATCCCTCAAAACAAGAAATGCAATAGCATTACAAATAATTTAGACATCCAAATTGAGATATCCAAAGGAAAAGAAAATTACCTGTTTAAATGTGATTATTGTGAGATTCAAAGTACATTAAGAAGTTAATCTAAATACATTCTTATTCTGTTACCACTATCATGCATATTACAATTTTAAAACCTGAGATCAGTGGACTCACACAATTTGATATTTTCCTTCAGAAATTCCTACCTGTTAAATCTGTTAGAGCACAAAACAAAATAAAACAAGAACCATACTAAATTAAATCATTATGAACTGCAGATCCTATCACATTAATACACATACAATCACTGAAAGAAAGCTGGCACCCCAACATTATGGGGTGCCTCTTTGAACTAGACACGTAGGAGGATACTATACAGGCAATAAAAATAAGGTTCCTGTTCTCAAGGAGTTTACAGTCTAACCAATGGGAAAGATAGATACAAGGGCAGTTAGTGGCAAAAGCATGTGATAAGAGGAACAGAGGTGCTATAAGAGTGGGAAAGAAGAAAGCAGTTGGCTCAACCCAAGGGGCCACAGTGCCATCCCCAGACATGAATCCCTGAGGCTTAACGTGGCAAGCTGGGAGAAAGTAAGAGAAAAGAGTGTTCTGTCTACCCAACACCAATGCAACTAGCAAAAGTTCAAGATGCGTTCATAACCATCTTCTAGTTTTAATTAATTTATTTATATTCTACTTCATTCTCAAAAGATTTTGCTGCAGCTTATTGAAAACACAAATGTAACCAAAAACTTGAAGACTGAATTTAAAACGAGTCAAAATTGTGAGGAAATGAGAATCCCCATATGCAAGTTACAAAGCACTGCACAATTGCTGTAAACAGTCCAAGATACCGATTCTGAAATTTTTGGCATCAAAGGCAAAAAAAGGAAACATGGTCAACTCTAGAATTCTGTCTACGGAAAGAAAATATTTCAGTTCCCCCAGAGAAATCAAGCTTCTTTTTCTTAGACATGTTGTAAAAAGAAGGAAAGAAAAAGGAATCTTACAAGGGCTCATTCATTTGGGGGATACAGGAAATGATATTGACAAGGTCCTCCAAACGCCTCTCAGCAAAATCAGGAATGGATTCATTTTTGTTTGTTTTATGGTGGTATTGCCCATTTCAGCTGCTTTTTTTTTTCTTTCCTCTTTGTTTTAATAAAATTAAATTCAAACTACCTTTTGCTGGTAGATTGGGTCCTGCCCTGCTTCCCCATTTCTCTCTTTCCTACCCTCTGGGCCAGGCATGGCAAAAGGTCTCAATATCCCTTTCACCCACTGCCTTATATTTCAAAGCCAGTTTACTGAGAAATGTGCTTCACAGAGCTGTCAGCCAGCTGCCTGTTGTCTCTCACTTTGTTACGGTTTCTCAGTGAACCTAAACAAGTTTAATTTTGTGGCATAGTTCATGGTTTGTAATAATGATATCTTTGGTAAATGGCTTTTTCCAGGGAGGCAGGGAGGCCCCATGGCCTATGGAGCTGTGTTTTCAGGATTTGGAGGCATGAGGCCCAGCTTTGGAGGGATGCCCCCAAATCCAGCCATGGGCGGGGACTTTACTCTGGAATTTGACCCCTCCATCCCCAGAGAAGGGAGAGGGAGGTGCACAAGGCTCCCCAATGCCAGAGGCCAACCCAGCCAGTCTGCAAAACCCAGCTCACCTTCCAGAGGGAGCAACCAGTTTCCTAGGAGGGCTTCTTGTTCTCCCTAAGGGCAAGGTTCCTGACCCAGCAGAGGACCTGCAGCACAGAGTGGCAGACACCTCAGGGTCACTTCAGCCGCTGCGGCCCCCCAGATGACACCTGGATTCACTGATACTTCTGAGACCTTCAGTGCTGACATGACCACACCCCAGGATTTCCAGGAAGAAACAACCTAGATCAGATACCACAATGATCCCAGACATTGAGTAAACAATGATGCCAGCAAACAAGGTCCAGCAACCCCAGATAATGCATGACGTGTGACATTTCCAGGAGCCTTGAGCTACCAGCTGCTTTCTGTGTACACAAGCTCCCCAATTTTGTCCCCATAGCATACCTTTTTGCTGAAACACTTATTACCTTTCTGCAGCAAAGGTGTTAAAAGCACTAAACCTATATTAATAAATACAAGTGTTTGGAAATAATATAGGTCCCCTTCTTCCTTTCATTATCTTACTGAATTAAAAATGTCCACTGTCTCTGTGATTTAGAAACACTATTAACAACATCAGAGCAAGTCTAAGGGTCTCTGCCTTTGAAAATCACTGTTTCTTAGCTGTCTTAGGCACTACAGAATTTCTCTTAGTAGCAGGACACTGTTACATTCAGAAAATGGGACATTGCTTTGGAAATTTTTCTCTAAGCAAAGGCACATATTAGCAAAATTGTAAGTATTTCATCCAAATGTTACTAAAAAGGGATTGGTGGACAGTCCCTGCCTGGTATTTATTACTGGGTTTGGTATATTAGATTTAAAATTCCCATTTGTAGATCATTTTATTTAATCTTAATAGTAAAACGTCTTGCTCATGTTGAATAAAGACTTTATCATGGAAAATATCAGCAATTACATGCTTATTATTTACATAGACTTAAACAGTTAAGAAAAGCATACTCATGCTTTTGCCACTTTTTAATCCATTTTATTCAGTTCATTGTTTCATGGGAAGTTTATTGCGTATCTACTGACATCCTTGGCACTGTGCTAGGAAATGGGACACAGCCACTTCCCTCAGGGCTTACAGTGGGGATGACTGACAAGTGGACAGACAGCCACAGTGGTAGCAAAAAACAGCCACTCTAGGCCAAGCTTAAGTACTTCACATATGTTATCTCAAAAAACACTGAAATATAGATACCTCCACACCCACGACACATGTGAAAAGTGATGAAAATGGCAAGCCCAGGGTGCCCCTGGAGCTGCAGAGAAGAGGCACCTATCCCAGCCTAAGGGGCACTGGAGGGGCCGGGAGGGATCTGTTTCCTCAGAATAGTACCAACAGCATCCACAGAATGCAGCTCCCATGAGGAGGGTCACAAGAAGAGGCATGTGGATGCCATGAGAGAATTAGCTCATTCCCCTGAAATACAACATGGGGAAAGGGAACCCAGAAAATGACTGTGGCTGTTCACCAAAGCTAGGTATGCATTAGGGCCTAAATGAAGAGGTTCTGAGCCAGGTCTGGTCACCCTAAAAAGGGGCTTCCTGCTCCGTTCTGTCCTGAGGTACCCAGCCCAGTTCTTAGACTCCACAGAGCTCAGATTCTCTTCCCGAATCTGTGGAGATCCTGGGGAGGCAGACCAGGAAAAGAGCCCTGGAACGCCTTCCGACCTAGAATGCTTCAGGAGCCTTAGCAGGAGCACACGGCCACCCCCACTGCCTCCCTCTCCTCAGGCAGAGCTCTGCTCGCCTCCGCTCTGCCTAGAGCCAAAGGAGACATGCAGGCATAACTGAGATTAAAACTGTTTGTGCCCTGCAGCGGGTCTGGCAAAGGTGCCAGGGGAAGAGAACCACCTCCACTGTAGCCAGCACATGCCCTCTGAGACCCAAGTACAGACAGCCTCCTAACAAGAAATATGGTAAAAGTCACGCAGGCCAATCTGGCTTCAACTTTGACCTCATATTAATCATCTAAATCCATGGAAGTGCGACTTTCTCTGCTCTTGTGTTTTCATTTCTATAATGGAGCCACGACCCTACACACCTCACAGGGTTGTTGTGAGAACTAAATAAAATCAAGTACACAGATAAAACCACTGAATCATAGCAGTTTCTTTCTTTTCCTCTGGATCCTTTTCATGAAGGCAAAGTGCCACAACAGCAGCAAAAACAATGGAAGAGTGGAATTGTTCCCATTATCCAATGAATTTGTGCTTTTTTCACTCTCACTCCACGCACTGCCCTTCTGGTCCTTTTGTGCAACTCAGAGCATGTATTTGTGAGATTCACATGCCAGTTTCCCCAATGAATGCTGTCCTGACAAGGGCTCAAAACTGGCCTCCACCATTGGCAGGCTGGGCACTTAATGATGCTGGCAGTTGGTCAGCTTTGTCCAGGGGGGTGCTGCTGAGCTCTTGAATAACCTCTATCTCTGCCACAAAGCACTTCAAATACTGGCCCTTTGAGCAAACACCGAGATTGCCAGGGGCAGAGGCTAAATGCTGTCCACAGAAGGAGCCATCTGCATCATGAAGAATCTCATCCACCGTGGCTTCCCTTTATTAGGTATCTTCATTCTATATCCCATCCTCAGGTATCTATCCAAATAGCCTGACTTTTACACCTCCTTATTATCAACCTTCCAATTTCATTCCCTCCAAGTCCCTGACTAGCTGACCAATCTGTACTGACCCTGAGTCAGTGTAGATGCATATCCCAGGCTGCCTCTCCTTCCATGCAAAACAGACAACCAGGCATATTGTTTAAAGATCTGCCCACTGAGTGAGGTCGTGGTGCATTGACTGCACACTTCAGCTAATGCCAGAATACCATACAGAAATCCATGAGCCAGTGACACACTCTTTTCTCTCATTAATTGATCATAGATACATTAATTATATAATTGATTCTGCAAAATGGGCACTTCTGACACTGCAAAGTGGCACTATGAATCATAAATGAATATTGGACAACAGGTACTAAACTAATACTCCTTGGGGCAAACTTGGACATCTGATGATTCTAGTCATACGGAACTCCCCATGAAGCCAAATGCGTGGATTAGGGAATGGCATCAAAATTATAAAGAGGAAGTGCATGGAAGTCTGAACCACTTGCCTGGGCAATTTATTAGAGCTCTGCAGACCTGCTGCAGCCTGGTGTTAGGTATATCATTTTCACTGACAATGGGATACTGCCATTAATATTTGTCTTTATGGTTCATTGGATCATATATCACCTAGTTCAAGATGGGCAACTCAAATAACATAATCACTCAGCATCCTATAATCAGGCGCATTGCCTCTATCAGGATCCAGGAGCAAGGCAAGAACCTGTTTTCACAAAGAAAACCCTGAGGTTCTGTGCTGTTTTCTCCTGCCAGGGTTTGCCTAAGGTCCCATACAGTGGTAGATACTTCCAATACATTTGGGTCCCTGAGTTACAATACTCAAGTGCCAGAGCAGCTTATGCTACTGCATGGATCCCTTTCTTACCCTAAGCCCCCCTCAAAACTGGCAGCCTTTTAAGCTATACAGTATGTGGTATATGTTGTCTCCAAAACACAAGGAAATCCAACAAGCATTTTGCTTCTCCCTTGCAGGATGGTGCAACCTGCTCGACTTGCCTTTCCCTTCAGCTCATGCCCCAGACTACCAGGCTCCTAGAAGTGTCAGCAGTCCCATGAAATCTACCTCCCACCCTCTGTCTTGCTGCTTCCTGCCAATCAGAGCCTGTCGTGTTGTGTCTTCAGTGTAAGGGACTGTCATGGTTTCCTGTGGAATATGAAGATCAAGAACCCTTAGGACTATATTATGATAGATGACAGGAGACTCAGTCCTGGGGCAAGACAGTTGAAGTCTGTATTGTTCCTACCTTTTAAAAGCAAACTGCTTCTGATTTTTCTTACTGATTGGACTGGAAAGAAGGCATCTGCCAGATCAGTAACTACATATGTGGTGCCATAGGCTATACTGATTTGCTCCAATAAAGTTACCACATCTAGAACTATAACTACAACTGTCATCAACACCTGATTGAGTGTGTGGTAATTCACCATGGTTCTCCATGATCCGTCAAGCTTTTGCATCAGCCAGACAGGCCAGTTAAATGGAGATGTGGTAGGACATCTTCCCTGTATCTTTCAAATCCTCAGTGGTGATTCTAATCTCTGCAATTCCCCCTACAGGACTTATCATCTTGCTAAAGAGATTGGAAGAAAACAGTGGCCCTTCCTACCATCATGGCTTTTGATCTACTAACATAGACATCAATGTGGGATTCTGCCAGTTATTAGGTATATCTTTTCTCACTATGCACTTGGGATTGAAGAACTAACCACAAGATAGATCCATTGGACCCACTGTTAGATGGATGTGGACCAAGATTCCACCTCTTATCTGACTTCTATAATCTTTCATTGTAAACTATAAAGGCTTTTCAGGTTCAGAAGCACTAACTAATAACCTCCAGGAAGTTTGGGTATTTCCCTTCTCCCAGTCCACCCTACAGTCACACTAGAGAACTGCTTCAGGGCCCTCTGGAGGAGGCTTAGGGAAACTTCCATGGTAAACATATGTGGTCCTGGCTCACAAGGACCTGGTCTCCTCTCAGCTGAGGGGCTCTAGATCTGGGAACTAGATCAGACTGGGAGTCCCACTATGGGGCTTGAGATAGGCTCTGTGAACCTAGAATCTTTTGTCTTTTTATGTGAAGTAATACCTTAAAAGGATGTCCTTTTCTTTCTGGAGACACATGATTTGCCAGATATCATCACAGATCCTGACAGAGCACCCTCATTGCCATCCATCCTGTGGCTTATTATGGCAGTTGCATCCTCCTTGTCTCTGAGAGAAGCACCGCCACCTGGCCCCTACTGCTTCTGAATCCTACTTTCCCACTGAGATTCTAAAGCAGCACACCCCATAACCATGTCTCCGAATCTCCCCTATGGAAACTAAAGCCACAGAGCTCTCCCCCATGCCTTAGGAAAGGAAATTCTTTCTGGCCCCTTCTGGATGGAGAACGTGGGGCATGAATCTAGGGAGGTAAACATGACAGATTCAGTACACCAGAGTGACTCAGGTGTGGCATGCCTACCATCAGTATAAGGACAATAATTTTCATGGAGTGCGTGAATAGCTTTATTTTTACTTACATTGGGTAAGGCTGGTTTCCCACTCACAAATGCAAAAATGATGTTTCTGCTAAAAAATATTTTTGTTTAAATAAAAAATATTCAGGAAACAGGACAGGTTATGGTAGAATATGGCAACAATCACATGGGCAGTACAAAAATAACTATGTATACATGAATAAAGTCTGGGAAAACACCGATTTAATTCAGTCTCCCCATTTATGAGTGAGACTAATGCCCAGAAGAGTAATATCTTTTTTGAAGTTCTAGTCACTATCAGGGCCTGAAAAACCCAAGCCTTCAGATTTCCCATTCACTGCTTT